TGAGCCCACTTAATTTTCCATGTTTATCTCTTCTAGGAGTGTCCATTAAACCCAGACTGTTAGCCCTGAACAGCCCTGTTGTAAATGTAGGACGGTCTGTGACCCTCTCATGTACCTCAAATCAGAGATACAATGGGTTCAGTTTAATTAAGAACAAGCAGAAGTTTTCCAGCTCCATGGGCTCACAGAATGTATATACTGGGCTGTCTTCTGCCAGGTTCCAAGTACATCTCATGACCTCCAGCCAAAGATGGAGTTTCAGATGCTATGGCTATCACACAAGCAACCCTCAAGTGTGGTCAGAAGGGAGTGACATCCTCGAGCTTCTAGTCTCAGGTGAGGACATTCCAGCTCTCTGTTGAACGACACTGAAATGGGTTTGCCCTGGAGACCCTAATGTGTGATAAATACAGGGAAAGACAGGTTCTTGAGATCACTGATACAGCAAGCAGACTGTGGGAGTCAAGATACAGAACCCAATGAGGGTTGTTGTGATAATGGAACCTGGAAGGGTCAGGAGAAAGATGGATCCTCACATGGCTCCATCTGTCCTTCGATTATTCAAGGGTCAATTCCAAGTTTTACTTTCCCTGTGCAACTGTACAAAGTCCTACATTCCTCTCACCTACTTCTTTTCAGGGACCCTCCAGAAACCTAGCATCTGGGCTGAGCCAGGCTCTGTGATCACATCAGGGAATCCTGTGACAATCTGGTGTGAGGGAACAATGGAAACGCAAATATATTTCCTGTATAAAGAAGGAAGCCCAGCACCCTGGGATAGATTGACTGCACCAGTGCCTGATCACAGGGCCAAGTTTTTCATCCCATCCATGACAGAGCATAATGCAGGACGATATCGCTGTTACTGTTTTAACTCTGCTGGGTGGACACAGCAGAGTGACTCCCTGGAGCTGGTGGTGACAGGTGAGTAGATACTCAGGAATCATATGAATCCCCAGATGTGACTCTCTAGAAAAGTTTGCTCTGAATGTATCCCCACTCATTACTCAGGTTTGGGGGACAATCCAGACTGTGTGAACCCATTTAATAGTCCATATGTATCTCTCCTAGGTGTCTACACCAAACCCACCCTGTCTGCACTGCCAAACCCTGTTGTAACCTTAGGAGGATCTGTGACCCTCTCATGTATCTCAAATCAGGGATACGGGAGGTTCATTTTAATTAAGGATGAGCAGTTCTACCGCTCCATGGACTCACAATATGTATATACTGATGAGTCTTCAGCTAGATTCCAAGTAAGCCCCATCACACTCAGTGAAAAATGGAATTTCAGATGCTATGGCTATCACACAAGCAAGCCTCAAGTGTGGTCAGAAGGGAGTGACATGCTGGAGCTTCTAGTCTCAGGTGAGGAAGCCCCATCCCTTCTATTGAAAGACACTGAACCTGAAACAGGTTTCCCCAGGAGACCCTAATGTGTGATAAGTATAGAGAAAGAATGGTTTCTGAGCCCACATATACAGATGCAGGCTATGGGAGTCAAGATACAGAAAGTACTGAGGGGTGTTCTCAGAAGGGAACATGGGAGGGTGAGGAGAGAGAAGGGTCTTTAGATGCCTCCATATGCCCTGTTATTCAAGGGTCCTGTCCAAGTATCATATTCACCGTGAAACTGTTTAAATTCCCATATCCCTCTCACCTACTTCTTTGTAGGGACCCTCCAGAAACCCAGCATCTGGGCTGAGCCAGGCTCTGTGATCACCTCAGGGAATCCTGTGACAATCTGTTGTGAGGGAACCATGGAAACCCAAATATATATTGTGTATAAGGAAGGAAGCCCAGTACTCTTGGGCAGATTAACTGCACCATTGCCTGATCACAAGGCCAAGCTTATTTTTCCATTAATGAGAGAACATAATGCAGGGCAATATCACTGTTACTGTTATGACTCTGCTGGGTGGACACAGCACAGTGACACCCTGGAGCTGGTGGTGACAGGTCTGTGGAAAATAAGGGTCAAAATCTTGACATTTTCTGTGTGTGGGTCCCTTAAAGCTCTTGCTTGGGAGAATATTACCCACATGCAATAGCAAGGAAAAGTTTGATCACACTAACATAATACTTGCTGCTACACACTTCTAAAATGTATGACACCATGTGGTTGATTGTAAGCAAGTTTAAACACAGTACGAAATTGGAAAAAAAAAAAGTATTCCTGGTGTAATAGAAAAGCCAGTGAACACCAAGATTTATTGCATCAAAACTCAACTCAAATGTGACCATG